ATTGACAGCTGACATTGAACAACTTTGTGTATGTTGAGTCGTTTAACGGCACTGGTTCAGCAGGCATCTAAATGTACGCAGAACCTAAGGGTCACACAACAATATTTACGATAGGCGACACTTGCCCAGCACTTGCGTGTACAGTGCTTCCCGTCGTCGTTTTCACTACCCATGCTCGTTAGGCGACCGGAGCTGTTAGAGAAAAAGCATCGAAGCTGCTTTCAAGAGATGCATCGTTAGAAAAATTAGTCTGAACCATACTGTACTATTGTCACGTAATGTCAAATCTGCATTATTGGCATTTCAGATCGATAGACTCTACATTGAAAAATAAATAGATGAGCCCCCTTCTCTTTTTGCCAACGGTCTATAGCCATCAAAGATGCTGCTCAAAGGGCCGATGATTTCAGAAGCTAAGTTCACATTTTTATTATTATACCTGCTAACTGCCTCCGATGGCGTGGCTTTGTTTCCGAAAACGGCAATAATTTTGCGTGACACCACTCTTAGCAGTGGTGTCACGCAAAATTATAGCCTTTTTTGGAAACAAATTGCAGCAACATCAAAGAAACACCAGTTAGTACAAAATCAAGTTTTAAAGGGGGGGGGACTTTTAAGGCCCAGGCTGTCGTAAGCTGTTGTCTAGTGAAGCTTGGTGTAATGTATAATAAGCCTACTTGCACACTTATGAAAATTTTACTTGAAGTTTGAAGTATTTCCACGCAGGACTTCTGGTTCCTCATCAGTGTTCTTATGTATCAAAGAGCATCGAAGAACGAGAAAGATTCGTCAGCATCGTGACAATAGGCAGTCGCAATACTCCTAACTTTTCTCGCTTTCGTAAATTTCTCGCTCTTCTTCGAATCAGACTTTATTTAAGGAAAACTAGAAGCCAAAATACTTAATTTATTCTCGCACTATAAGTAAGAATGGAGCTTTCAGGTGTGGTTGTGCAAGTGGTAAATCTGGAGCTATACAATAGACCTTCAAGACTTTCTATCTAAATACGGGCAAAAAGGAAAACACTACTGCCAAGACAGGTAGAAATTAGCCTAATTCCCAACCAAAAGGTTCATAGACTCTCAACGCATATATGTGGTACGCTACACAATGACGATCGAGAGGTAAATAGCGCGATGACGACGATGGACAAGCGAAAAGCAAGACGCAGCACATAGGACAGCGACGGTGACAGATTAACAGGAGGCGATGGCGTGGTTTCAGACACGCAGCGCAAGCAAGCGCATTATCTGTTACGAGTTCTGGAAGAGTCCCTGAGAAGGCGGAAGGAAACGTATCTGTGCTGAGTGTTAGATAACGGTCGGGGTGTAAGTGACAGCAGCTTGTGTTTTGGAGGCTGCCAACTTCAGCACTATTCACTGATCTTTGTAAAGGAAGCATATATCCACGAATAGGGAAGTTCACGGTTGTGATAACAGGCACGGCTTAGACCAGAGAAAGCAGACTAAAGCGTCTGCCGCTATATATGTGTTTAACGTTAAGTCTCAGTCTAGCAGTGTGTCGACGAAGAACGACAGGAGTTGATGGACCACTTGACCACACAGTGAGTAAGTTTATTTGTGTGTTTTTTGAATGTTTTCATCAAACTGGGCGTATGAATTCTTTCTGTGGGGCTTTCGCAACAAGCAACGAATGCTTTTCATTTCACAAGACATTAACTGCGCGAAAAAAGACGAAGCACGAAGCAAGAGACAAAGGACGAAGGACGAAGCAAGGGTACACAGACAAGGGCTGTCTGTGTCAGGCGAGCTTTAGCAATGGTCAGTTCGTTAGAACATCACAAGGCACGCGACGACAGCTGGCAAAAATAAGTGTGTTCTATACTTGTCGTCATGGCTACGAGCAGCGCTAATTAACACATCCGGATTACATGCACAGAAGAACCAAACAATTTCGATGGGAAACTCCTGTAGCTCGACTGGCAGAGCATTGGACGCACTATCCGAAGGTTGTATAGGATGTTCGGCGTCCTTCCTGGGGCAATCAGAGTTTCTTCTCTTCTTTAACACTTCTGCATTTACGTCATCATTCCTACGCTACAGCTGCAAACCACAACTAAGGCCTACCTTGGCTTCATTGTCAATGGTTTCAACTAAATTGTGTCTACAAAAAAAAAACGGGCTAATAATTCGTATCCTTTCGTTGTACCACAAAAGGGAGCACTTTCAAGCCGCACTTCAGCGGCTTTTTTTTGTTTCTTCACAGTTGTGCACTCATTCATGTTCGCATGTTCAAAAATAAATTATCACACTCACACTCGAGAAGCAGCAATTGTTTATATGTAGGTTTTAGTAGCACAAGGGCCATGCTCAGCCAAAGAGCGCCGAAAAGCAGTGATAGCGTATGCTGTGATATAAAACAAACAATTTTACTGTCTCTTTTAGGTGCTATTGTTGCCACATCTGCATGTTTCTTTTCAAACTAGCATACTTAGTATCCCACTGTTGGTGAAAGGAGCAAAATATGATAGGAAAGAATAGCCACCCAGTCGAAAAACTCGCTCCCCTCCCTGTCCTTCCGCTTGCTTCCTTCTTGCTATCCCTTCCTCCTCTGTTGGTGCCCCCCTCGCCCCTGTGCGAAAAACAAAACTGTTGATTACAGGCCTGTGTGTCTAAGGTTTCATGGACCCACAGGCTCACTATTCCAATAAATGTTAAAGTGCATGCATTTTAGCTTTTTTCTACTTGTGGAATTTCAAAAGATAGACAACTATCTATATTATTTACTACTTCAGCTCTGTGCTCGTAGCAAACATGCAATTATCAGGACTACTGAACGCATTTTTTAGGTAAGAGGCCTATTTATTAATGTTATTTTTATGTACAGGCAATGATGACAGAAGTGTTGAGGATTTTCGTTCTGGTGACATTTATCCTTGCGTACTTGGGTAAGTACACTTCGTATTTCTTTATGCGAGCAGGGCATGTTCTGCTAAAATACGGCCGGGCTAATGTCAACAATGGCAACGCGGCATGTCGAGCGTAGTGAAGGGGTTAGAAATCTGGAGTTTCGTAAAGTACTGCGTGAAACAGGTGCAGATAAATTTCTGAAAACAACGCCGCATTTTTCAAGACAAATTACCAGTCAGCATCGACGAGGGTGACGTCAAGGGGCCACAGGGCCACGCACCACCACTGCGCGGGCCGAGTTTTTAACCGAAGATTAATGTCACAGGTGGTGCTATGGTGCGTTATGTAGAGACGTCACAAACGTAGCTTTTCCTCAGAAGCATAGCCAGTCAAACCCCGACGACGCTACCTGACACCTATGCGTCACCGACCTGCTGCACAAGAGGGAAACTGATCGCTGCAGCACTGGAATGTCAGGTGAATTATTCACGTGTGAACGTAGTCAAAGAACGAGAAACGTCAGGAGGCCAAAATCCAAGCAAGCACAAGCACGGACCACGTGTCTACCACAAACGCTGTCGCTTGCTTTTCTGACTGCTTCGTTGTCGTCGGTGGTTCTTTACCACACCAGTAATTTCTTTTCGGAGTGAGGGGGGGGGGGATAATTGAAAAATAATTTATTTTCCGTATGTTTGTTGGTGTGTTTTTAACTGAGAAATTTCGGAGGAGACGAAACCTTTCTTGTCTTCCTCACATCCCAATTTTTCCCCGTCTGACAAAAAGCAGTGCTACAAAAGTTTTTGCCAGTATGCAAAGGTAGATGCAGGATTATTGCCAGTTGGTCAGTGTTTATTTTTCGCGAAGAGATACGATGATGAAAAGGGGAGAGTGCAATAACGCTGCGGGTACTACAGCTGGACGAAGCACCATCCACCCTGTATTAACAATGACAGAGGAAAAAAGAATGCAATGGTACAAGAAAACGCAAGAAATACAAGGGCATCTGCTTTTTCTTGCCGCTGAGACCAACATGTGGAGATATGTTGTATTCATGTCTTTTTTTCTCGTAGTGTCTTTCAGTGAGGCCAGCGACTGGTGACAGCACTAGTGTGTAGAAGTCCCTCGACAAAGCTGCTCAGTTGCCGACACACAATCCGAGACTGATAGAGCTTGAGAGGAAAACTCATCCTTTAGTTTCCGAAATTGTTCGGTGTGTTCACTGTACGGTAGGAAGGAAAGAAGTGTAAATTTTCGAATTCGTTTTATTTGTTAGGAAAAATATTCAGAACTAGCAGACATTGATGCCAAGAAATGTTTACAGGTTGTAGTTACAAGTAACTGTAATGTGAATGTCAACAAAGAAAAGTGAGCGAAAGGATAATTTACTACCAGCTAGAACAAAACTTTCGACCTTCGAATAACGCGTTCGATGCTTTACCACGGAGCTTCAGTACAGGTCATTCCTCCATGCACTTTAAGGCAATATAAATATATATATACATATATATTTCTATACCGGCAGGGTTCAGTCCATGCCCGAAGCAAGTCACCTTTTCGTCCACTATTCTTCACCTTTACATTTCTAAAACTTTTAATAACATCCCGTATACTTTCCGAGGCATTATCCAGACCTTTATTGAAATTTATTCGTACCATGTTATCTGTTAGCTTTCTTTACCTTGTTCGGGGTGTGTTCTGTCACCTCAATCGCTATTTTTATTCATACTTTTCTTCCAGTGTAAGCCCTGAATTCTACACAAACACGATGCACTCTGCACAACCTCGACGACTGCTGCGACCTATTGGCGAAAAGAAAGCTTTATTTCGAGCGAGCTAGCGAGGCAGTAATTACTGCGTTTGGTTCTCAGTATTTCTTGCCGGGCAAACTGGGCGTAGGATGAATATTCGGTGCTTCTTCAAGCGGTGATGTCGGAGCGATAACGTATACGCAAGATTCATTCTTACGTAACTGCAGGTTCAAATTTATCCACTACTCCTGACTGTTCCTCAAATTTTGCTTGTGTATACATGCACACTAACACACAAAAGAACGCACGCACAGGCAACACGTGAAGAACAGTTGACCTCTTCTCCACAAAGAAATCATCAACCATCTCCACGAAGGGAACA